CACTCCGTGTTTGTGAACTCCCCCGAGCTGCACCAGAGCGGCTACGACTGTGTCCTCTATTCCTGTCGCCTTGGCCTCTATCCAAATCTTGACTTTGTCCTGCGCGTGAGTCGTCTGCAGCCTGCAATGCCGAACCTGGTCGGCCAGCTCGCCGTTGGAAGTGGGTGCGGCTTTCATGCGATCCTGGTACTCCTTGATTAGCCTCGCATTGGCCTGGCCCACCTTGTCTCCCTGTCCTACGAGAGCGCCCGCCAGCGCGACCCACACGTGTGGATGGGGGATCCCCAGCGCCTCTAGCTCGGGGGCGGGGTCGCCGTTCTTGAGGGCGGCCTGATTCGCATCTCGAAGTCTCTTGGCCTCCTGCCCGTAGTACCGCGCCGTGAGCATCATCGACTGGGGCACGTCGTGGTTGGCAGGGAGCTGGACGTGACGGAAGATGGCCGACTCGAGGGCGTTGATCGCCTGTTCGTGCCTGAGGGACATGCGCATCAGGATGGGCATCGTCTGCTGCGCCTGCTCGATCGGGATGTGCGGTAGGTTCCTGACGTCGTCTTCTCTCTGCCCGTAGTGGTTGTCGGTAGCGCCCCACACGTCGATCTGCTGCAGCGGGGGCTGACCTGCTCCTGGCGTCGCGGCCGCGGGGCCCGCTCCTCGCTGCTGCGGTGGGGCTCCCCGAGCGCCTCGTCCTCGACGGTCTCCACTCCGTGTCCGATCTCCTCGCCCACCTTCGAGATCGCGTCGCCTCTGTTCCGTCCCAGTGGCGAGAGCCCGCTCCGCCAGGTTCGACATCCAGCACAAGATCTGGGGCGGGCGGCGCGTGGGCTTCTCGGATGTGTGTCTGGAGTGCCTGCAGCGTCTGAAACGGCTCTTGAGCCAGTGTGGCCTCGGCCATTCCCTCTCTGAAAGCCTCGTGTGCTGACTCTGGATCCACGCAGATCGGACAGTGGAGGTCATCGGGCACAACCAGGGGGGGTGAATACGCACTGAAATCTGTGAGGCAGCGGCGACGGCGAAGTGACTGTACCACATGCCTCTTGGCCAGCACCACTGACGAAAAGGTAGAGGAGCAGTAGCAGCACTGGTTAGTCACCACAAGCTGGTGCATCGGGACCCTGATCTTGTGCGACGGGTGGTGGCACTGATGTGCTCTCAAGGCCGCTCTGGAGTAGAAGACGTGCCCACAGGGGTCCCCGTTCTCGCCTGGGAGGTCACAGTAGTATTCTTGAGGAGGGGCTTCAGGGACTGGTGGAACCTCTGGTGGTACCCCGTGCTGAGGAGGAGGCCGAAGGGGTCCTTCCTGCTCCTGTTCCCAATAGGCCTTCCGAAAACCCTTGAGACTCACGCTCTTGAAGTGGCACGCGACGCGGTAGTTCGTGAAGATGTCCCAGATCGAATAGCCTCTTGCCAGGAACTGGTGCCCAGTGGGGATGACCGAGAGGAGCTTGATATCCTGCTGGAGCTGCAGGGCCCACGGGTTAGCGCCAGACCTAATCCAACCGTCGGGGGTGAACGTCGGAGACTCGCCCAGCGAAGTAAAGTGCCCGAAGAGCGCCGCAACAACCTGAACCGAGTCTGCGGGGTTCACTGCCAGGCGCTGCCAGTAGCCGAGGCGCCTGATCAGAAGCTCAGTCCTCGAGTCAGCGATGCGCAGCCTCTTGTGCATGACTCTCGCCGAAGGTGTCCGAATCCTATCTCCCTCTGGCCCTACTCTCTTGGCAACGCCCCTCATCGCCACCTTCGCGAATCCCAAGATCACCGAGTCAAGCTTGGCATAGTCTTTCTTACCTAGGATATAGACCTCGAGGCCCGAGTAGGCCGCACTGTGGATAATTCCCAAGAAAGCCATCCTCTTAAGCTTCAAAGACGAGTGCTGGTTCCAGAACCTCCCGAGCTTGGTCCAGGCAGAGCGCGTGGCGTCGACTCGAAGTTTTACTTCCGCTCCCGAACCACCCGTCAAATGCTCGAGTCCTCCGAGGTAGACGGTTTCAGCTCGAGTTTGCCCTGGGAACTGGACGAGTCCTGAGAGTACGGCCCTCGTGGCCGTGTATCCTCCTGGGCCGACAAAGACTGGGAGGATGATCTCCTTGTCAACATTCTGAGTGAACCCTCCTATCTCCTCGAGCTGATCTGACAAGATACGAGACGACAATTTTGCCCTCTCCGCTGCGAGGACGGGGCTGCCATTCGGCAGCGGCAGGGTCTGCGATACGTCGTCGGCGTAGTCGCGCGTGGGGATGTCGATCTGCTCGGAGTGGATGGGCGAGTCAATCAGCGTCGCCGCCTCCATCATCGGCACGGAGCCGCCGCTCTCCGTCTCTAAGGTGGCCTGGGTGCCCTGCAGGAGGATCTGGTTCCACACCTCCAGCGGCTTGACGAACGACCGCACGAACAGCTCACACGCATTGCCGCCGCCCATGCCCGTGCCGTGGGTGGGTTGGAAGAAGCCCTTTTCTTCTCCTGCCTCAACCTCGATGACCGCCTCACGAATCCTCTGGTGCAAGAAGAGTTGGTCCTGCATGTCGGGGATCACTTCCCCAATCACCTGCTCCAGGATGTCGTGATCTGTCGAAGGGAACGCGTTGCTCATATCTTTCTTGATCTGCAGGTGCGAGACGAGCTTCTTTGTAATCTCCACGAGTGAAGTTTAGCCACCAGCTGAGCGTTCTGCCTCGACCTGTGCGCTGCATATCCATGTGCGTGCAATGGAAGCCTTGAGCGTTCGTGTCTTACAAAAATGCCTCTGTACCAAGCTTTGCCGAACGGGCAGTAGCAGTGAATGGGTCTCATCGCCTTGGTGCCCCTCTTGTCATTACCCTTGCTCAACTGGAACGTCTTTGGCCAGTGCCACTGGTAGGGTGTGCGACACGTATTCCGAATCTGCCTCAGGATCTCAAAAATGCGCTCCGCCAGTCTTGGACAAGGGACCTGAACTCGCTGTCTTCTCGCTTGAGGATCTTCATCAGCTGGTTCGCCCCTGGCTTCTCGAGTAGCTGCCCTCATCGCCATGAGCCACACCTCGCTGGGGGCGGAGTGCGGGGGGAGTACCTGCGCCTGGCCGCCTTCTCAAGACAGAGCAGCGTGTTCGTCCAGTCGTCGTAGGCGGCTGACCCAGGTCGTCCTCGCATATCCTTCCACTCTCCATCTGGATCCTCAATCTCTCTCGCAGCCAGTGCCACGCTGCGAGGGATGCCTGGCCCTCGTAGACGAACAGCCGAGAAGCCCCCCTCCTTCGCGTCGGACTCCAGCGTGTCCTGCCACTCTTGCAACGTCGGGGCGTACGTAGGGATCAGGTTGAAGCGTCGTCTCCTCACCCCGTGGTAACGCGCCCCGATCTGAAAGGCGATCTTCCAAACAGTGCTGGTGTGGCCTCGGTCCGAGGCCAGTTGTGCCTCCTTCAGCAGCGCCTCGACGTTCTCTCTGTCCAGCCTGCTGCGTGCACGCTTGATCTCTCGATCGCAAGCTCGCAGTCTAAGTCGATCCTCTTCTCGAAAGTGAACACTGAGCTGCCGCCTCATTGCCAGAAGTCGATCTCTCTCTTCTCGATATGCAGCCGACTGCCCCTTCGACTTGGTCTCCAAGAATTCTGTCTGTGCTGCCTCCGTGATGTCGGCCACCAAGTGAAACCAAGAAAGCGAGGGGTCTTCTGCTCTAAGATAACTTCGCCACGCTCTCGCCGACCTCTCACATCTTCTCTCTAGCTCTGCAATGAACTCGGGGGCACCTCGCCGATTCAGTGCATGGCCCATGAGGTCTCTGTCCCACCGAAGGCGCCGTCCATCTGGATGAGGTGCGGCCTGCAGCCTGTAGTGTACTCTCCACAACATGGGGCAATGGTCTCGAAGTAGAGGTGAAGGTATACGTTGTAGATCTCGCATCGCTCTTCTGAGACATACACACGATCTGGTCGCCTGCACAGCGTCGCACGGTCCCCATAGGTGGTCTGGGTGCGAGGTGATGTGAGCTTCGGCCCCGAAGTAAGTTGGCCCAGTGTCATAAAAGGTGTCGATCGCTGCCAATCCTTCCATGCTCATCATACGCCACAGTGCGGCGCTCACCCCATTCTCGTAGCTGTTGGCGAACGGGCCGACGTGGACGTCATCTCTCGTCGTCGTCGGGGTGCCGTTGGGCCCACTGCGTCGTCCGAACTCTGAGTTCGTATCCGCTCCCACCACTATCATGCATCGAGCACGGGCTCGCTGTATCGTCCTATGCAGCCACGCCGTGAGCTTGGCACATGGCGTATTCCAATGGTCGATCTGGTGCCTCTGTGGGGGCGGGTAGTAGGCTACCACCACCATGATGTCGAAGGTCGGACTCTTGAGTCGAACTGCCCCTCCCCGCCCCGCCAGTTCTCGTGGTGGCTCCAGTACCTCATGAACGTGGGCCTCCCTGAAGGCCCGTCGTCTGAGCATGATGGCGCAGCCCGCGCTTTTATTCGTGTACCTCCCCCGCTGCCACCCGAACTGCACCATCGTGTGCTTCTCCAGCTTCATCCTGGTCGGGGGGTCTCCTGCGCGGCGGCGCTGCTGTGTTCCTGGCAACAATATCAGGTCTGCGAAGCTCAAGCGAGTGGAAACCTCGTGTGCCCGCCATGTGTCGCTAAGAGAGAGTGGGTTATAAAGTACAGTTTGAAGGAGAGAGGCCCACATGGTGGGCGGGAGCTGGGGCTTCAGGCGGTAGGGGTGTGGCCTGCATCAAATCCTGACAGGGAGCCCCAATTCCCCCTGGCCTGAGCAGGAAGGGCTTAGGAGGAGGAGAGGAGGAGGAGGAGGAGGAGGAGGAGGAGGAGGAGGAGGGAGGAGGAGGAGGAGGAGGAGGAGGAGGAGGAGAGGGACGAGGACATGGAGGCGGGATGGACGGGAAGAGAGGGAGGGCTGCAGCGTGGTCAGAGTCAGAGAGGGGAGGGAAGGAGGGAGGGAGGGAGGGAGGGAGGGAGGTCCCTCCCCTCCCACGTGACGCTCGGCACGCCGAGCCACCCTGAGTCCGCCCCCCCACATCTCCTCTGCGTCGTGGCGCAGGCGGCTGGGCACTCCCCTGACGACCTTGCGCCCCGCGGACCGCGACAGCCCGCGCCCCTTGGACAGCAGGTTCTGCCTGAGGCGAACGGAACAGGACGAGAATGACGTCATCATGCGACTGGCTCCAGATACGTTCCAAGAAGTCTTGCAATATCTGGATGCCGTCGTCTCCGGAGTCCGCTCGGGACAACGGAAACGCCAGGAAGTCTCATATCAAATCTGTATAAACTTCTTACTCGCAGATTTCTTGAGACCAACGCCAACCAAGAAGTTTGCGCGGATCTCCGACAATTTCCGCCGGCCCCATTGTGAGGCCACCAGGCTTTAGGACGAGGTTGCTGCTCCCTACGCCATTTGCAGTTACAAGTCTCCAGTTCTACAGTCCTGCTTTTTTCTTCCTACAATAAATTGTTGAAATCATTGCGAGGGGGGGGAACCCAAATGGATCCACTTTGCCACGCCCAGATCGCGTTGCCTAAGTTCCCGGGGAGGCGTGGGGCATTTTAAGCATACATGAGATTCACGCCCTCGAGGCCACAACCCCTTTTAAATTACACCATGGTCGCGTTTCCGAGGCCACACACACCCTTGTAATTTATATAATTTGTGCGTCCCCGAGGCAACGAACCCTAGTAAATTACTCATTGCTCGCGTCCCCGAAGCAACACACCATTGTGCAGTTCGCAATATTCGCAACCCCGAAACCATAAACCTTCGCAAATTACGCCGTCTTCGCATTGCGGAGGCCAAGAATGCTCCAAGGCGCCCGATGATGGTTCCAAGACGGCCCCAGAGGGCCCAAAGAAACCCCAAAAGCGCGCCAAGAGGCCTCCCGAGAGAAACCCGATAGGCCAACATCGTAGTTTTTGTAAGAAAATCTTTGGAGGATTTCGGCCTTCTCGCATTTTCGGCTTTCCGACGCTCCATGACGGCTCATGAAGCTCCCAAGACCGCCCCCAGACAGCCCAAGACGCCTTCGAGAGGGCCCCAAGACGGCACCATATGGCTCCAAGATGGCCCAAGAAACGCTCAAGACGGCCCAAGAGGGCCTCCAGACGGCCCCAAGAGGGGCCCAAGCAAGGGACAACGAACCGAACATTTTACATTTGTGCCCTGAGAAGCCCCCAGGAGCCTCCTAGAGGCCGCCAAGAGGCCCAAAAGATACTCCATGAGGCCCCAAGAGGCCCCGAAGAGGCGCCCAAACCGCCTCCAAGAGGCCCCCGAGAGGCTCCCCACGACACCCCAACACATATACAAGAGGCCTCAGACCCACAACCCAGGCACGGTGGCGGGATGGGCCGAAAACCATTCGGATCCGCCGCCCCCTGTCGATTCATCGCAAGGTGCCTGGCGTGCTAAAACCTTTCGGTTTTGGTTTTGGTTCTTTTTCCAAAAGAACTCTCCCAATGGGTTTCGGCTTGTCCCACCGGGGTCCCGGGAGGCCCTTCCAGGACCGCAAAGTCCCGAACCAATCCTCCAAGACGGCTCCCAAAACGGCCGTTTCGCTTGGGACATCCTCCCAAAATCGCGAAGATGGCCCAAGATGGCCTCCAAGTCCGCCCAATATGGTTCAAGACGGCCTCCAAGAGAGTCCAAGACGGCCCAAGACGGCCCAAGAGGCCCCCCAGAGGCCTTCAAGACGGCCCAAGAGGCCTCCAAGAGGGCCTCCAGGAAGGCCCGAAAAGGCCAACATCATTTTTTCCATGAAGGATTGTGGCATTTGCATTTATTCTCCCTTCCGACGGCCCGAGACGGCCCAAGTGCCCCCAAAGATCGCCCAAGAGGCCCAAGACACGGCCCCAAGAGGCCCCCAAGACGGCCCAAGAGGTCTCCAAGACGCTCAAGATGGCCTCCAAGACGGCCCAAGAGCCCTCCAAGGCGTCCTCCAAGAAGGCCCGAAAGGGTCAAAATGGCCTCCAGACGGCCAAGATGACCTTCAAGATGCCCACGTGTTCCCCGAAGGCTTTCCAAACCGATTCGAGGAACACATGGTCCGATAGCTTGGCAGGTCTGGCCTCAACGTTCGGCCACATAGGCGCTTCCAAAAAGGCAGGGGGCAGCGGTGATTCGCCGTAGGCGTCTTCGATCCGCCGCCCCCTTTTGATTTATCAAAGGGGTGCCTGGCGTGCCAAATGATATGGGTTTTGGTTTTGGGCATTTTTCCCAAAAAGAATTCCCCCTGGGGCTTCGGCCCGTCCCGCCGGGGTCCCGAGAGATTACCGAAAACCTGGTTGCAAAGGTTTTTCCTGCTCCAGACGGCTCCAAAATTGCTCAAGATGGTCTCCAAGATGCATCCAAGACGGCCGAGATGGCTTCCAAGACGGCTCAGATGGCTCCAAGATGCCTCCAAGACGAGCCAAAATGCACTCAGCACGGCCCAAGACGCCTCCAAGAGGTCCTCCAGGAAGGCCCGAAGAGTCCAAAATCATTGATATTCCTTAGGTTTTTGAAGGATTTTGGCATTTGCGCCTTTTCGGTTTTCCAACGGCCCCAGACGGCCCAAGAGGCTCCCAAGATCGCCCAAGACCGCCCAAGAGGCCTCCAAGAGGGCCCCATGACTGCCCAAGTGGCCTCCAAGACGGCCCCAAGAGGGCCCCAAGACGGCCCAAGATGGCCTCCAACACGCCCAAGATGGCCTCCAAGACGGCCCCGAAGCGCCCCAAGAGGGCCCCAAGACGGCCCAGAAAGGCACTCCAGACGGCTCAGACGGCGTCAGACGTTCCAGGAACCCACCAAGATGGCCGAAGTTGGCTCGAAGCTGGCCCAAGACGGCCCAAACGGCCCCCAAGAGGGCCTCCAGGAAGGCCACAAGAGGCCAACAATTTTGATTGCCCTGAGGTTTTTGACGGATTTTGTCACTTGCTTCTTTTCGGCCTTCCGACGGCCCGAGACGGCCCAAGAGCCCCCAAAGATCGCCGAAAGATCGCACAAGAGGCCTCCAAGATGGTCCCAGAACGGCCCAAGAAGGCCCCAAGACGGCCCCAAGAGGGCACAAAGACGGCCCAGGAGGCCTTTTAAGACGCCCAAGATGGCCTCCAAGACGGCCCTGGAGCATACCAAGAGGGCCCCAAGTCGGCCCATAGAGGCCCCCCAAACTGCTTCCGACGGCGTCAGACGGACCAGGAGCCCACCAAGACGGCCGAACATGGCCCTAAGATGGCCCAAGACGGCCCAAGAGGCCTCCAAGATGGCCTCCAGGAAGGCCCGAAAATGCAAACAAATACTGATTTCCCAAGGGTTTCCGAAGGATTGTGACATTTGCTTTTTGTCGGCCTTCCGACGGAAAGGCCCAAGTGCCCCCAAAGATCGCCCAAGAGGTCTCCAAGACGCTTAAGATGGCCTCCAAGACGGCCCAAGAGCCCCCCAAGACGTCCTCCAAGAAGGCCCGAAAGGGTCAACATGGTATCCAGACGGCCAAGATGACCTTCAGGATGCCCACGTGTTCCCCGAAGGCTTTCCAAACCGATTCGGGGAACACATGGTCCGATAGCTTGGCAGGTCTGGCCTCAACGTTCGGCCACATAGGCGCTTCCAAAAAGGCAGGGGGCAGCGGTGATTCGCCGTAGGCGTCCCGCCGCCCCCTGTCGATCCGCCGCCCCCCCTTTTGATTTATCAACGGGGTGCCTGGCTTGCCGAATTATTACGGTTTTGGTTTTGGTTCTTTTTCCAAAAGAACCCCCCCTGGGGCTTCGTCACGTCCCGCCGGCCACCCGGAAAACCCGCCTGTCGTCGCCTTTCTTGCCCCAAGATGGCCCAAGATGGCCTCCAAGATGGCCACGTTGGTCCAAGATGGCCTCCAAGATCCAAGATGGCCTCCAAGTCCGCCCAAGATGGTCCAAGACGGCCTCCAAGACGGCCCAAGAGAGTCCAAGACGGCCCAAGAGAGTCCAAGAGGCCCCCCAGAGGCCCAGAGGCCTCCAAGACGGCCCAAGAGGCCTCCAAGAGGTCCGCCACGAGGGCCCGAAGAGGCCAACATCATTGATTATCCTTCAATTTTTGAATGATTTTCGCATTCGCTTCTTCTCGGCTTTCCGACGACCCAAGACGGCCCAAGAGGCCCCCAAGATCGCCCCCACAGCGCCCAAGAGGTCTCCAAGATGGCCTCAGGGCTGCCCAAAAGGCCTCCAAGACGGCCCCAAGAAGGCACAAAGGCGACCCAAGGGCCCCAAGTCGGCCTAGTAAGGCACCCCAAATGGCCTCCGACGGCGTCAGACGGGCCAGGAGCCCACCAAATGGCCGAAGTTGGCTCGAAGCTGGCCCAAGACGGCCCAAGAGGCCTCCAAGAGGGTCTCCAGGAAGGCCAGACAAGTGCAACAACCACAGATTTTCTATAGGTTCTTGAAGGGTTTTGACATTTGCTTCTTTTCGGCCTTCCGACGGCCCGAGACGGCCCAAGAGCCCCCAAAGGTCGCCGAAAGATCGCACAAGAGGCCTCCAAGATGGCCCCAGAACTGCCCAAGAGGCCCCCAAGACGGCCCCAAGAGGCCCCCAAGACGGCCCAGGAGGCCTTTTAAGACGCCCAAGATGGCCTCCAAGACGGCCCTGGAGCATTCCAAGAGGGCCCCAAGTCGGCTCAGAGAGGCACCCTACACGGCTTCCAACGGCGTCGGACGGGCCAGGGGCTCACCAAAACGGTCGAAGATGGCACCAGGTGGCCCAAGACGGCCCAAGAGGCCTCCAAGAGAGCCTCCAGGAAGGCCCGAAAAAGGTCCAAATCATTGATTTCCCATGAATTTTTGAAGGGTTGTAGCTTTTGTGTTTTTTCGGCCTTCCGCCGGAACGGCCCAAGTGCCCCCAAAGATCGTCCAAGAGGCCCAAGACTGCCCCAAGAGGCCCCCAAGACGGCCCAAGAGGCTTCCAAGACGCTCAAAATGGCCTCCAAGACTGTCCAAGAGCCCTCCAAGACGTTCTCCAAGAAGGCTCGAAAGGGTCAAAATGGCCTCCAGGCGGCCAAAATGACCTTCAAGATGCCCACGTGTTCACCGAAAGCTTTCCAAACCGATTCGGGGAACACATGGGCCGATAGCTTGGCAGGTCTGGCCTCAACGTTCGGCCACATAGGCGCTTCCAAAAAGGCAGGGGGCGGCGGTGATTCGCTGTAGGCGTCTTCGATCCATCGCAAGGGCGCCTGGCGTGCCGAACCCTATCGGTTTTAGTTTTTTCCCAACAAATTCCTCCTGGGACTTCGGCCCGTTCCGCCGGGGTCCTGGAAGGCCGCGTAAACCACCCCAGCGTGCACAACAAATCATCCAAGACGGCTCAAGATGGCCTCCAAAACAGCCAAGATGGCCCTCAAGATGGCCTCCAAGGTGGCCTCCGAGTCCGCCCAAGATGGTCCAAAACGGCCCAAGAGAATCCAAGACGACTCAAGAGGCTCCCCAGAGGCCTCCAAGACGGCCCAAGAGGCCTCCAAGAGGTCCTCCAGGAGGGCCCGAAGAGGCCAAAATCATTGATTTTCGATAGATTTTTGCGGAATTTTGGCGTTCGCTTCTTCTCGGCTTTCCGACGACCCACGACGGCCCAAGAGGCCCCCAATATCGCCCTCACAGCGCCCAAGAGGCCGCCAAGATGGCCTCAGGACTGCCCAAGAGGCCCCCAAGACGGCCCCAAGAAGGCACAAAGGCGACCCAAGAGGCCTCCAAGACGCCCAAGATGGCCTCTAAAACGGCCCTGAAGCGCCCCAAAAGGGCCCCAAGTCGGCCCAGAAAGGCTCCCCGAACGGCTTCCGACGGCGTCAGACGGGCCAGGAGCCCACCGATATGGCCGAAATTGGCTCGAAGCTGGCCCAAGCCGGCCCAATAGGCCTCCAAGAGGGCCTCCAGGAAGGCCACAAAAGGCCCCAAACACATTTTTTTGTTTTTCTTCCCACTTTCTTCTCCCACCCGCGCGAAGCCGATGACCAACGAACTACCAACCTGACCCGAGTCGGTGCAGCACCGGGGGCACAAACCCGGAAGCCAGAAGGTACCGCGCCAGCGAGACGGAGTGGACTGCAGATTTCTGCGCCCACACGTCGAGACATCGAACTGCCTAGCGCTACGGAGCACAATCACCCGCCCCACAGGAGGAAGGAGGAGACGAGAGGGGGGAGAGAGGTGAAACGAATACGCCCTGAAACGTATCGCGCCCGAGCGTGGAAGCGAGTTGTGTGCCCAACCCTACCGAATGACCCAAACGGCCAACCCAATACATCTCACACAACAAGCAACGAGCAGATAGAGAAAGAGGAGGACAAGAGAAGAAGAGAACACGGGGAGAGGAGGAAGCAGAAGAGGGAGAGGAGAGAGGGGGAGGGCAGTCCCGACCCTGCTAGGGGACGGACAAAGGATCCAAAGCAAAGCCTCGGACCCACCAGCAAAAACAAAAAGGGGGAGGAGGAGGCAGACGGCGGACCGCTGTCGCCATTTGTGCCCCCCTCACTGTCCTACGTGGCCCAGTTGCTACCCTCAGTGGCCCCATAGTTGCCTTCTGTGGCCCCGCATTATCTGCACTTCGTGGCCCCCGCTCGTTCGCGCTCTTCGTGGCCCCATACGCATTCCCTTCTTGTCCCCGCTGTCGCCCTTCGTGGCCTACTTCGTGCCCTTCGTGGCCCTGCTGTCGTTCTCTCTCGCTCTCGCTTTCGCTCGCCGTCGCCGTCATCGTCGTCGTCGCCGTCGTCTTCGACGTCGTCGTCGTCGTCGTCGTCGTCGTGGTCGGTCCCCTGTCCGTCCCTCTTGGGGTCGGGTCGACGGTCCGCGGCCGCCCCGCCGATCAGCGCTGCCGCTGACCAGACCGACGGTCCGCGGCCGCCCCGCCGCTTGCCGGGGCCCTGCCTGCAGAGAAGAAAGGTATACCCCCCAAAAGGGGTTCGATCGAAGACGAAGAGGGCGGGTATCGAGGGTTTGGGAAATACGCGTTATTGGACACTCGAGCATATAAGGGCGAACAGTCTTAAAATTATTGTTGTTGTTGTTGCTGACCGAGGACCCATGGGCCAGGCGAAGGCACCCAGCGTGACACCCAACACATGCGCCGCCCGGGTCTCGAGGCCCTCCTCGCACGCCCGCCCCGCGCCGCCGCCGCGGTGCCGCGCGCGTTGGTCTCTCGGACACCGCGCCGGGTCGCTCAAACCTTGGAGTGACGGTAGAGGAAAACAATCGCTGAACACTCCCCCTCCCCCCAAACTCAATGTTGGCACGCGCGGGGGACACTGCGGTCGAAGTGCATCCCATCAGACCCACCGCCAACTTTGAACACTGGGGGGAAGGGGAAGCGTTGACGGATGAATGTGGCATGAATGTTCGCTCATTTGCTCCGAGGCCTGGATGGGCGGCCCTCCCGACAACGCAGGTCCTTGACCAAGACATGCCGATACCGCCTGCCCCCCCCGGACCTCGCCCGGGGTGGCGTTCGGACCCGCAGGTCGAGGCGCACCCCGCCGTGGCGACGAGGGCCTCCCCGCGGGCTGCCCGCATCGAGAGCGAGGCAGGGGCAGCGGTGTCCAGGTCAGCTGGCTTCGCGCGCCGCGCCCCGCGATGCGCGGTTGTCTTGGCGCCCTCGCGCCCTCGCGCCCCCCCCTGCAGAGGGGCACCTCTCCAACCCCAGCCGCGATGCGCGGAGCGCGATCCTCTTCGCGGCCCTGGGGTGACCTGTGGTGTCTCGGTGCCTCCTCCTCCTCCGACCACTTGCGGCGCTCAGCCCTTGAACGCTCACGCACGCGGGGCCGCCGCAGCGTGGGCGCGGCACGCAGCTGCCGTGCTCTTTCTGGCTCCCCGGCTGCCCGGGCCGGCCGTAGGCTTCGGCGCTGTAGGCGGTGGCCCACATGGGGACGTGCAGCGCGGAGGCGTCGATCGTCCTGCGCGGGGTGGGGGTTTGGAGTCCCGAAACGGTGCGGTGACAGACCGTGCGGCCCAAGAGACCTCACCGCACGGTCCGTCACCGCACGGTTTTGGGACCCTGGAGGCCCCTGTCGCCCGAGACGTCCTCGGAGAGGGACTCGAGTCCCAAAACCGTGCGGTGGCCCCGAATCCCCACCGACTCACCGCACGGTGTGGTCACCGCCCCGCTTGGGGGGCCCCCGAGGGGGGGGGGGCGGCCCGCGCCGCCGCGCCGCCGGAGAGTCCTCGCGGAGAAGTCGGGGCGGGGGGGGGGGGGGCGGAGGAGGAGCAGGCGGAGGGGAGCGAGGGAGGGGAGGGGGAGGATTGGATCGGAGGGGGAGCTGGGGGAAGGTAGGAGGAGGGGGGTCCAGAGTGGATCTAAGGAGCACCAGCCTTGCTGCAACGTGCGCACTCGTCCCGAGTCCCCTCCCCATAGTGCCCCTACCAGGGAGTCCTCCTTTCACCCCGGGATGTGCCACCTTGAGAGACGAGCGTGCCGTGGTATTGCAAGTCAGGCGAGGGCCAGTTCTCAAAAAGGACCTGCTGCTCATGCTTCTAGCCGCAAGGACTGCGACGAGGTAAGCTTACGGCGATCGGGAACTTTTGCTTCAGGGTGTTGCGGCGGCGGCCCCTGCGACGCCCTTTGAGCTGATAGCGCGTTGCTGGAAACGCTCGGGACGTTGACGCTTGGGGACTGCGACGTGGCTAGCGCGTCGCGCAAAAGCATGGTGTGCCAGAACTGGCGGCGCGACACGCTAAGAAACAAAAAACTCCCGATTTGCAAAGGACCACCCCCATCCGTGTAGCCCCTGCACAATTTCAATGTACTCCAAGTTTCCGATCGTACACGTCGGTCGGAAGAAGCAGGTGAAAACATGAAGCAGGAAGGCGGATCAAGCAGATCGGGTACAGGCCCTCCCAGAAAGCAGCGACACGCAGCAATAGCATGCCGATTCTCGAAGTAGGAAGGCGCTTGAAGTAGATCGGTATCCGGGAAATTCAACAGTACCCCTGGGATCTTGGCATCCCAAGAGCACCTACTTTCAACGACCGGCGCGCACGAATCGCGGAAGTCCGCGGCGGCAGCCCTCCTGAGAAGGCGCGCCGCCCTCCGTCCGCGAAGCGGCAGGATAACGTGCGAGATGTGTGTGCGCGGCGCTACGGCGAAGACCGCATTTTGAAAACAACACCCCCTCCCTCTTCTCCCCCTCCTCCCTCCTCCTCCTCCTCCTCGTCCTCCTCCTCCTCCTCCTCCTCCTCCTCCTCCTCCTCCTCCTCCCTCTTCTCGGGGCTCAAAAGACGGGGGTCAATGCAAACGGGGGTCAGTCAGAGCGCCGGATCTCGCAAGATCCTGCAGGGTCAAGGGTGCATTGGCCCGGGCTTGGGAACACGATCCTGCAGGATCCTGCACATCCTGACTGGCCCGGGTCTGGATTGACCCCAGTCGGTAGATCCCCGACCCCCTCCATCCATGGAGCTGCCAGAAGCTGTTGAGAGAAGTATGCGCGGCGCTAAGGCGAAAGCCACGATCCGCCCTCCTCCCAACGCCTCCCTGCCCACTCTTAATCTCTCCTCTCTCCTCGGGGCATCTCCAGAGGCCTCTGGAGGCACCAGAAAGAAACAGAGGCACAATCATCTCGACCCTCGATCATCGAATCTCGATCCTCGTCGCCACCGTCGCCGCCGCCGCCGTCGTCGTTGTCGCCGTCCGTATTGCAAAATCCGCTCACATTCCCCACCAGACCCTTCCTTCGAACTATCCCGCCAGTCTTTGGAGCCGCGTACCGCCATGATAACGAGAGCCTTCAGAGATGCCCAGAAACGTTCGAAACAAAGACGTCGTGGTCGCCGTCGTCGCTCGCTCGCCGTCGCTCGCAGTCGTCGCCGTAGTCGTAGCTCGTCGTCGTGGAGTCGATGCCGCCGCCGCCGTCGCCGCCCTCGTCGTCGCTGGCCGTCATCGTCGCTGCAAGCCGCCGAAGGCCGTCGTAGGCTGCCAAAGCCACAGCCGACGGCCGCCAAAGGCCACGCCTCCTGATGATGGTGATGATGATGCTGCTGGTGATGATGATTATGATGATGATGATGATGATGATGATGATGATGATGATGATGATGATGATGATGATGGCGGTGGTGGTGATGATGCTGATCATGATGACGGTGGTGGTAATAGTGATGGTGCTGGTGACGATGACGATACCAATAAAGATGATGACGATGACGATGACGATGACGATGATGATGACGATGATGATGATGATGATGATGATGATGATGATGATGATGATGGTGATGCTGGTGATGATGATGATGGTGATGATGGTTTCTGGTGCTGTGCTGCTGCGCGTCTCGGCGCAACATGGTGCTGTGCTGCTGCCGTCGGCGGGCCCCCGCCGGGAGCTCCTGGCGGGCTGCGCCGGGGCGGCGCTCGCCGGCCCGCGGTGGACGGCCAGCAGCTGCTGCTCCTGCGCGCGCGGCGCCGGGGGGGTTTCGGCAAAGGCGGCGGCCACAACGGCCACGACGACGTCGATGACCGCACCGTCGACGACGACGCCGGCGACTACGACGATGACCGCGCCGTCGACGACGACGACGACGGCGACAACAATGACCAAGCCGACCACGACGACGTTGACCGCGCCAACGGTGACGACGACGTTGACCGCGCCGTCGACGACGACGACGACGACAACGATGACGGCGCCGACGACAACGACGACGGCGACGACGTTGACCGCGGCGACGACCACGACGTTGACCGCACCGTCGACGACGATGATGACCGCGCCGTCGACGACGGCGACGACAATGACCCCGCCGTCGACGACGACGATGACCAAGCCGTCGACTACGACAACGACGACAATGACCGCGCCGTCGACGACGACGACCGCGCCGTCGATGACGACGACAACAATGACCGCGCCGACGACGACGACAGCGTTGACCGCGCCGTCGACGACGACGATGGTAACCGCGCCGTCAAAGACGACGACGACAAAGACTGCTACGACAACGAGTTTCACCGCGCCGTCGACAACGACGACGACGATCACCGCGCCGTCGGCGAGGATGGCAACAATGACCGCGCCGTCGACGCCGACGACGTTGACCGCACCGCCTACGGCGACGACAATGCCCGCGCCGTCGGCGACGGCGTCGTTGAACGCGCTTTCGACGTCGATGACGACGTTGACCGCATCGTCGAGACTGGCGACGACGACCGCACCGTCGACAACGACAATGACCAAGCCGACGACGACGACGGCGATGACAATGCCCGCGAAGCCGACAACGACGACAATGACCACGCCGGCGACGACAATGACAATTTTGACTGCGCCGACGTTTCGGCGACGACGACGACGACGTTGACTGCGCCGTTGACGACGACGATGACCACGCCGTCGACGACGACGATGATGACCAAGCTGACGACTACGATGATGATCGCGCCGTCGATGACGACGATGACCGCGCCGTCGACGACGACGCCGTTTACGACGACGACGACGACGACCGCGCCGTCGACGACGACGACAGTGACCGCGCCGTCGACGACGACAACGATGACCGCGCCGTCGACGACGACACCGATGACGACGTCAACGACGATGACCGGGCTGACGACGACGACGACGATGACCGCGCCGCAAAGACGACTGCGACGACGACGACGACGGTCACCGCGCCGTCGACGACGACGGCGACGACGACGGCGACGACGACCGCGCTTACGACGACGACAACGACGACGATGGGCGCACCGTCGACGACGACGACGATGGCGACGACGACGTCCACGACGACGACGACGACCTTGACGACGACGACCACGACGACGACGATGACCCCGACGACGACGATGACCGCACCATCGATGAAGATATCGACGCCATCGACGACGACGGCGACGATGACCGTGGCGTCGACGACGCCAACGCCGACGCCGATGACAATAATCGCGCAATCGACGACGACAACGACGACGTCGATGAAGACGAGGATGACCGTTCTGTCGACGACGATGGCCACGCCGACGGCGATGACGATAACGACGTCAATAACAACACCGACGACGTCGACGAAGACGTCGATGACCATGCCGTCGACGACGACGGCAATGACCAGGCCGTCGACGACGATGATGACAGTGGTCGCACCGACGACGACGATGACGATGACCGTGCCATCGACGACTGCGCCATCGATGACGACGACCATCACGACGACAAAGACGACGATGACAACGACGACGGCAAAGACGACTACGATGATGACCGCACCGTCGACGACGACGGCGACGACGACGACATCGACGACGACGACGACGGCGACGATGACCGCGCCGTCGACGACGACGACGCCCGCGCCGTCGACGAAGATGACGAAGACGATGGCGACGCGATGACCGCGCCGACCATGGCGACGACAATGACCGCGCCGCCGACGATACCGACGACGCCGACGACGACGCCGTCGACGACGACGACCGCGCCGTCGACGACGACGATGACCCACGATCACCACCACGACCACGACGACTGCGACGATGACCGCGATGGCGGCGGCGGTGGACGCCACCGTGGGAAGGGAGGGGGCAGGGAACGACTCGGTAGTCCTCGTTTGACACCCTCCTCCTCCTCCTCCTCCTCCTCCTCCTCCTCCTCCTCCCAGTTGTACTCCTCGACCTCCTCCTCCCCCCCCTCCCCCTCCCCCCCCCCTTCTCCTCCTCCTCCTCCTCCTCCTCCTCCTCCTCCTCCTCCTCCTCCTCCTCCTCCTCCTCCTCCCCCTCCCTCTTAAACTTACCTCGCGGGAGCCCCTCGAGTCTTGCGCGGGGGCGTCTTCTGGCCCTCCCGCCGTCCTGCTCCGCCGCAGGCAGGCACTCCTCGCTGGCGAGCGTCGTGTACACGGCGGCCCCCGACCTGCTGTGGCCATGCACTCCTCCTCCCTCCTCCGTCCTGTCCCCCTCCTGCTCGGCCCCATCCACTCCT